TAGACATATGAAAATTATATATAATTAACGCACCCCAGCCTGGGAGATTGGATTTCCTTATCCAAATCAGCCAATATGGAATTGTATAAATACTTTCAGTTAAGTAAAAAAACATACCGTATTTACGCGAAATAACGCACAGGGGCTTTATTTAGAATCATAGGCTTAATTTTAGGTCAAAATTTGTAATTTCACCCCTGCGCGTTATTTCGCGTAAATACGGTATTGTAATAATTTTGCTAATTTATTGGGAAAAAACAGAATTATACTTTGACTTGGAAATTCAAATAAATTAACTAGAATTTTGGCTGTTAAGACTAAACATAAACAAAAAATATATTTCAATTTTCAGTACCATATAGATATGTCTCATCCACTTACTTTGAATTACTCAGCTTCTATTGATCGCATGAAATTAACAAAGAAAACTCATTACTTTCATAAATTGGTTGATTTTCAGACCCTACAATATATATACATACGTATTAAGTTCAATTTAAAAAACTTTTAATTAATTGTACCGCAGTGCATTGACTAAGTACCAAATAAATAATTTACAAATATCCGCGGTTATCTTAATCGATGACGAATATATTGTATTTGGTATTCAATACAGACATTTATAGTGATCAGTACAATTAAGAAAAAACTTGACAACTCAAATACTCGATATCAAACATAGATTAAATCAGTTATCTGCTATATAACTAAATTGTTCATTTAAGATCTGACTTGGTTGAATGTTGAATTTTTGCTTAATTGTGCCAGTCACTATCATTCGTATGTATTTTAGAAATTAATATATAATAATATAAAAAAAAATCCATGTAAAATGACCGGATATTTATATGAAAACTGAATGGAATATTTTAGTCGATGCATTACAGCGCACTATGGCATGAAATGAAGATTTTCTTACCATTAGATGCAAGCATATTTTTCAGATTAGGTAAAAGATTTGAAATAGTTTTATAGGCTAAGATTTGAAGGAAAAAAAGGTCATTATAAGTGAAAAAAAAAGCTAAAATCAAAATAGAATTTATTACAAACATTGGGAGATGAACGCATGGTTTTTTGTCTTCTGAAAAATTTTATCGTAGCCTAATGAATAATATTAGTTGTGATTAATAATTAAAGACAATAGCTGACTTGAAAGCCTTTTAAAGTTTAACGGGTTAATTAAGTTAAAAGAACTATACTATATATGGAAAATGTCATACTTGATTGCTTGTCTATTAGCATAAGAGTAATATTATTTAAAGATATATAAAATGGCTGAAAGTTTGAAATATAGACATAATACAGTAATAAAAGAAATACCTAAAGTTATATTATTGAAATTTTCTAATGGATCCGCGGTTACAAAATCCTTAAATACAGGGGTCTTCAATTCATTTATAGTTTCTGGACTTTCTTTAAGTCTCCCTTCAAACAAATTATATAGCTCTTCTGATTTTGGACGCTTTTGCGGATCAGAATCCCAGCATTGTTTCATTATATCCTTGTAAAATTGTGGTACCATCTCAGGAATTGTTGGTCGTATTCCATCACAAATATAAAGCATCAAATTGCTATCATGATCTAGGTCATAAAACGGAGGTACGCCACTACAGCATTGATACATCAACATTCCAGCACTATAAATATCAACAGCAGGAGTATATTCACCCCTGAGCAACACTTCAGGCGCCATATATGCAAGATTTCCGTATACCGCATTTGATTCTTTGTCGGATGGACCTGTAAACCCTAAATCGGCAAGTGCCCAACCACCATTTTTATACATAATATTGCCGCAGTGGAGGTCCTTATGGACAATCCCATCATGATGTATAAATTTGAGGGTGTAGAATAAATATGAAAACAAAGTATAAACATCTTTCCAAGTTATAGTTTCATAATTTTTGAAGATGTAATCTCTCAAATCTCCATCCAATTTTCTCAACACTAATACAAAATCTTGTGTTAGAGGATCTCTCGTTATTCCATAGCAATCTACTACTAAATAACCTTTTGAGGCAAGCATTACATGAGTCTTCAACTATAAAATTTATTAATAATTAGTTAAGTGAAAAATGTTTATTATCAATGTTAAAATTGTCATACTTCATTTATAAGTCGATCATTAGCAGTGGCTGATCCTTTAAGAAATTTTAAAACAACTGAGATGTTTGGGGATCGTTCGAACATCTGCAACTTTTTATCAAATGAAGTAATAAGCCCTTTTGTCCAAGTAGCCGTATAAATAGATGAACATCCGCCTTGCTTGAAGAATTCTATATTTTCGAGGTGAATATATGGTATCCATTCAGTCAGCGCACGCGGTAAAGGCATTTGTAACTGTGCCTCTCGAATTGCCTCATCAATTTTTGAATTATTTGAAGTCCAATTACTAAAGTCTTTTCTTAAACATTCTCTTAAACAATGTTCACAATCATCAATAGTGTATCCAAGTTTTTTACATGTCGAGCAAATATACTTTGGGCCTTTTTTAGTTAGATTAAAAAAGTTTTTATCCCATGTAGATTCATTTATAGCAAATTTTTTTTCTTCTTCACTTAATTCAGTTCTATTCTTTAATGCGTGTATAAGTTCTTCATAAATTTCATTCCAGTCATCACCTTGAGCATTTGCGTAAATATCATTAATTATGCAAGTTATCAATTCTTCTCGAATGTTTTTCATTATTTAGATGAATTAAAGTATATGTATTCACGATATATGGTTTTCAAAATCTCTTGAAATCTTAATTTATTATAAATTGTAACAGTATAATTTAAATTGTAACAGCACATAGTACCAATATATATAATATATATCATGTGTATTATGTGGACACAACTCTTGTATCATAAATATGCAACAAACATTCAATAATGCCTGGGGATAATAAGTTTATTACCACAGATAATACAATGTATGTGCGTATGTGCATACTTTTTTGTCTATAACATGTAGGGAAGTAGGCTATTTATTCCCTGCGAAACGGGAATAAGGGTGTTATTCTCCCGTTTTACTTAGTGAAAACCTAGTAATATACAACGAGTCAACGAGGAATAAATAGTACTAATTGTAGTATAATTGTTTTATATGCATTATAAATTGATTATTAAAAAATCTAGTATTAAGATAAAACTTAATAACATTCAATTAATATAATAATAATAGCGCTAAAATGTCAAAAGAAAAGAACTGGGCCGTGTTAATTCTTATACGTCACTGAAAATAAAAAAACTTTGCCATTATCGCAATGATTAAGCTTAGAAGATATCATAGACCGATATTATTGACCCATTTTTCGATTTCTTATTTGGAAGATTTATATCATTTAGCAAATCAAATTGTAAAAATTTTTACGAAGCAGAAAAAAAAGAAAAAACAAAAACCTACAAGAAAAGAGTGTCTGAACTAGTAGTAGGCAAATTGGCCTTTTGTCAAATTTCATGCGATGGAATTCTGGCTCGCATTATGGTAGCTTGCTACTACAGTAATGCGCAAAATTTAAAGATTCCGAAATATTCCGAAAACTCCGAAACATTCCAATGCACATGGGCATATCACTGCAGTCATACTCCTCTATAATCACCTCCTATAATCACAAATTCTACATAATCACCTTAAATTTTAAAAAAATTCATTAAAAACGTATAAAAAATACTTTTAAATAATCACATATTTTTTGCATGAGTGATTATAGAGGAGTACGACTATAGTCTGAACCTATTAATAAAAAAAATTCGAAGAGTAATTTTATCTATGAAACTTCCCTGTTCTTATCTCAGACCAATCCGAACCCTAATTTTAATTGCTGTATATTATGGGTCAGTACAGTAATATAAACAGAAATATTAATTGCTGCTAAATAAGGAAATAAAAAATGGAACAGTAACGGTAATACCAATCAACATAATAGCCGGGAATATAATCTATACTGCAGTGGACAACAAGCGACATCAAATATTTATAAAAAGTAATATAGCTGAGCAACAAATATGTTTTATCAGATTTGTTGTTTTTTTTATTAAAGCTACAATTCTGCTTAAAGATTTCCGTTACTTTTACTGTATAATTTTAGAAAGTAATTTTAGCTTAAAGTTTATATGTATTTTGTGCACCTAATATAAATGAGTGCTGTGAGGGAAAAACTTGGAAGTGAAAATTTGATTTTTCACTATAATGAGTTTATCTCCAGATGAATTGTGATATTACGTAATTTATCATCATTCAATAGAATATCTAATATAGCTTCCTATATGTAAATTGTATTACCAAAATTACAAACAACAATAATTAATGCCAATACATAATATCATAATTTCTCAAGGTTCAAGTTCGCATAGTGAAAACTTAAATTTCACTTTCATATTTTTCCTTTGCAGCACTCATATATGTAATTGTTCGGTTTTACTTTATCTGCCATCCCGCATTGACTATTTCACAAAAAAAAATATTATATATTTGTCTAGCCTTCATATTTGTAATTAGTGATACTATAAATACAGAAATTGTTGAAGTTACGTATACATTTAAGGTTACAGTACACGTATGTACATACTAACTTGGTTTTAAAATTTAGAGAACAGGCACGAAATAAGTAGGCATTTTATTTAGGCATTGACGCTAGCAATGACACTAGCATTAGTACCCAGCATTGTGCCAACTATAATACCAGGCATAACAGTTAATGACTGGTCATATATGCAACAAATGATAGTTACGTATCTAAAATCATGTATGAGCCATTTCAATTAATTACAAATCGAAACTCTGGTAATTTTGAAAGTTACACGAAATTGTATTGAATTTGTATTGTACTAATCGTGTATATTGATTATTAGTTTGCAGCACTAGTAACTTATGCGGTGATGTTACGCAAAATAGTTAACATTATACTTTCAGCTGTGTAACATTATAATAGTTTAGTTTATAGTTAAGTATTGATCGAAGTCATTACGATAGTCAATCATTACGACATTTGATAGAGTTAGCTTATACTTTGCACCTTGCAGGATAGTCGATTTGAGTCTAATTCAATATATATAGACCGATATTCTTGTAAAGAGGATTTTAGGATTTTAGGTAATACTTCTTTGGGCTTAGTTGGAACAAGGGATATTTGGAAGGACAATAGTGTACTGGGTGCACTTGTTGGGATACATATTAATATGATATTTAGGCCGCTTGAAGTTAAACTTTCGTTTAACGTTATCCCCCCCTCCATCCACTGAGCTCCCCCCTAAAATTAAACAAATAGAGGTGACAAATTAGTCAGTGTAATGGTCGGCACAGCGATCGGAATTTTTCGATTATATTCGGGATTTTTCG